CCCCCCCAAATTTCAGGACAGTACAAATCCCCCCCAAATGTCAGGACAGTACAAATCCCCCCAAATGTCAGGACAGTACAGAAACCCCCCCCCCCCCCAAATGTCAGGACAGTACAAATCCCCCCAAATGTCAGGACAGTACAAATCCCCCCAAATGTCCCAAATCCCCTCCAAATGTCAGGACAGTACAAATCCCCCCCAAATGTCAGGACAGTACAAATCCCCTCCCAAATGTCAGGACAGTACAAATCCCCCCCCCCCAAATGTCAGGACAGTACAAATCCCCCCCAAATGTCAGGACAGTACAAATTCCCCCCCCCCCCCCCCAAATGTCAGGACAGTACAAATCCCCCCAAATGTCAGGACAGTACAAAACCCCCCCCAAATGTCAGGACATACAGAAACCCCCCCCCCCCCCCCCAAATGTCAGGACAGTACAAATCCCCCCCAAATGTCAGGACAGTACAAATCCCCCCCCAAATCCCCCCCCCCCGAATGTCAGAACAGTACAAATCCCCTCCAAATGTCAGGACAGTACAAATTCCCCCCCCCCCCCAAATGTCAGGACAGTACAAATCCCCCCCAAATGTCAGGACAGTACAAATTCCCCCCCCCCCCAAATGTCAGGACAGTACAAATCCCCCCCAAAATGTCAGGACAGTACAAATCCCCCCAAATGTCAGGACAGTACAGAAACCCCCCCCCCCCCCCCCCCAAATGTCAGGATGGTACAAATCCCCCCAAATTTCAGGACGGTACAAATCCCCCCAAATGTCAGGGACAGTACAAATACCCCCCCCAATGTCAGGACAGTACAAATCCCCCCAAATGTCAGGACAGTACAAATCCCCCCAAATGTCAGGACAGTACAAATCCATCCCCCCAAATGTCAGGATGGTACAAATCCCCCCAAATGTCAGGACGGTACAAATCCCCCCAAATGTCAGGACGGTACAAATCCCCCCCAAATGTCAGGATGGTACAAATCCCCCCAAATGTCAGGACGGTACAAATCCCCCCAAATGTCAGGACAGTACAAATCCCCCCCAAATGTCAGGACAGTACAAATCCCCCCCCCCAAATGACCCCTTTTTTTTCCATACCGTCACCAGCACAATACGGGGTCATCATATGACTGTGGCGTTTTTTTTAATATTTTCATCAGAATAGTTTGATGTTACCATAGTAACAATATACTACTCTGGGGGAGGAGATAAGGGGGGTTTTCCTCTTTTTCTTTAAACTTTGGTTGCTGGTGCAATGCTGTGAACTGTCATGAATGGGTTAAGTTCATGACAGGTCAGAATACTAGTGATCTGTGATTGGCTACAGCTAATCACACAGTACAGGGTGCTGTGATTGGCCCACAGCTATCACATGGTACCAGGGCCAATCACAGCTCACTAGTAATGGAAGCAAAGCTGTTATGAATCACATTGAGCTTTGTTGCCATTTTGATCATGTGATCTCATAGATCCCGAGTACCGGAGGTCACAGCGGGGGGGAGGGCAGTGCCCCCCTGTGTCTGTACACGTGAAATGATGTCCGGGAACGTCATAGTACATGTCACCCACCAGCGCTCCCACCTCCTACATCATCCACAGCTTCGGAACCACGGCGCTCATATAAAAAACTAACGCGTTTCGGCCATTAGGCCTAAAGGACGAAACGCGTTGGATTCTATTATGGCTGCAATCCTCCATTTTAAATAAAGCTTACATGTTTTAGTCGATACACCATGGTGCCGTTTTTTTTCCTTGTGTGCTCTGTTCCTCCTACTGACACCAATGATGAGGAACTATTCTTCTCACTGACACCAATAGATGCGGCACTCTGCTCACTGACACCAATGATGGGGCACTATTCCTCCCACTGTTACCAATGATGGGGCACTATTCCTCCCACTGACACCAATGATGGGGCACTATTCCTCCCCACTGACACCAATGATAGGGCACTATTCCTCCCACTGACACCAATGATGGGGCACTATTCCTCCCACTGATACCAATGATGGGGCACTATTCCTCCCACTGACACCAATGATGGGGCACTATTCCTTCCACTGACACCAATGATGGGACACTATTCCTTCCACTGACACCAATGATGGGGCACTATTCCTCCCACTGACACCAATGATGGGGCACTATTCCTCCCACTGATACCAATGATGGGGCACTATTCCTCCCACTGATACCAATGATGGGGCACAATTCCTCCCACTGACACCAATGATGGGGCACTATTCCTCCCACTGATACCAATGATGGGGCACTATTCCTCCCACTGACACCAATGATGGGACACTATTCCTTCCACTGACACCAATGATGGGACACTATTCCTTCCACTGACACCAATGATGGGGCACTATTCCTCCCACTGACACCAATGATGGGGCACTATTCCTCTCACTGACACCAATGATGGAACACTATTCCTCTCACTGACACCAATGTTGAGGCACTATTCCTCCCACTGACACCAATGATGGGGCACTATTCCTCCCACTGACACCAATGATGGGGCACTATTCCTCTCACTGACACCAATGATGGAACACTATTCCTCTCACTGACACCAATGTTGAGGCACTATTCCTCCCACTGACACCAATGATGGGGTACTATTCCTCCCACTGACACCAATGATGGGGTACTATTCCTCCCACTGACACCAATGATGGGGTACTATTCCTCCCACTGACACCAATGACGGGGCACTATTCCTCCCACTGACACCAATGATGGGGCACTATTCCTCCCACTAACACCAATGATGGGGCACTATTCCTCCCACTGACACCAATGATGGGGCACTATTCCTCCCACTAATACCAATGACGGGGCACTATTCCTCCCACTGACACCAATGATGGGGCACTATACCTACCACTGACACCAATGATGGGACACTATTACTCCCACTGACACCAATGATGGGGTACTATTCCTCCCACTGACACCAATGATGGGGCACTATTCCTCCCACTGACACCAATGATGGGGCACTATTCCTCCTACTGACACCAATGATGGGGCACTATTCCTCCCAAAGGACCAGTAGACTGGTCCTTTGTATAGGATTGTAGAGACCGCTGTGTCCCTTGTGTGTGGCGCCCATATTTTTTGCTGATAAAAAACATAATATACCAAAAAAAAGGGACGGTAACCGAAAAACACCCCCCAAGAGTGCAATGCCAAGGACGCCTGTCTGCGACTGGTCAGTCGGGGGTTGGTGGTGGTCCCCCCCCCCTATATAATAACATTAGGCCTACATCTTTGATGTGTCATCGTCATGGAGGGGGGGTGGGACCCGCGTACAGGAGTGTCATCTCACGCGCACCGCGGCCCCTAACTGAATGATTGAGTGCGCCGTGAATTGCCGGCTCATTGTGATGGATGGCGGTGCGCACCACAAGACGTGGCGGATGTAAAGCATGCTAAATTCCGCCTCCACTTTGAATTGTGGCCTCATTTACACTTCAATGGTGGATGATGTACGCACCGCGTGTTTTTCCATAGCGCGCCGTTCGCATGAAATACCGACCATTTTATCCCGACGTTTCATCGAATTGACATCCACTTATTGTTCTGGACTGGGAAAATATTTCTTTCCACTTTCAGTCGCTGCGTTTCCGTCCGATGACGGGACAATCGATGCATTTTGGATGTTTCTGTTGCAGATTAGGTGAATAGGAGTGACTGACTCCCCCTGGGACATGTTCCCCGCCGTGGCAACTATCCCTGCCATGGCTTTCCCTGCATGGCATTCCCGCCATGGTATCCCCTCCATGGCATCCCCACCGTGGCATCCCCTCCATGGCATCCCCTCCATGGGATCTCCACCATGGTATCCCCTCCATGGCAATCCCCTGCATGGCATCCCCCTCCATGGCATCCCCTCCATGGCATCCCCTGCATGGTATCCCCGCCATGGCATCCCCTCCATGGCATCCCCGCCATGGCATCTCCGCCCATGGTATCCCCTCCATGGCATCCCCTGCATGGCATCCCCTGCATGGCATCCCCTCCATGGCATCCCCTGCATGATATCCCCGCCATGGCATCCCCTGCATGGCATCTCCGCCATGGTATCCCTTTATGGCATCCCCTGCATGGCATCCCCTCCATGGCATCCCCTGCATGATATCCCCGCCATGGCATCCCCTCCATGGCATCCTCTGCATGGCATCCCCTCCATTGCATCCCCTGCATGATATCCCCGCCATGGCCATCCCCTCCATGGCATCCCTCTGCATGGCATCCCCTCCATGGCATCCCCTGCATGGCATCCCCTCCATGGCATCCCCTCCATGGCATCCCCTGCATGGTATCCCCGCCATGGCATCCCCTCCATGGCATCCCCCGCCATGGCATCCCCTGCATGGCATCTCCGCCATGGTATCCCCTCCCATGGCATCCCCTGCATGGCATCTCCGCCATGGTATCCCCTCCATGGCATCCCCTGCATGGCATTCCCCTGCATGGCATCCCCTCCATGGCATCCCCTGCATGGCATCCCCTCATGGCATCCCCCTGCATGATATCCCCGCCATGGCATCCCCTCCATGGCATCCCCTGCATGGCATCTCCGCCATGGTATCCCCTCCATGGCATCCCCTGCATGGCATCCCCTCCATGGCATCCCCTGGCATGATATCCCCCGCCATGGCATCCCCTCCATGGCATTCCCCTGCATGGCATTCCCCGCCCGTGACATCCCCCTCCAATTAGCATCCTCTGCATGGCATCCCCGCCGTGACATCCCCTCCATGGCATCCTCTGCATGGCATCCCCGCCGTGACATCCCCTCCATGGCATCCTCTGCATGGCATCCCTGCCGTGGACATCCCCTCCATGGCATCCTCTGCATGGCATCCCCTGCCGTGACATCCCCTCCATGGCATCCCCTCCATGGCATTCCCTCCAAACAGGACCAGTGGATCCAAAAAATAGGGGAATTTAATGCTGCATGCGCAAGTTTGTCATCAGCCAATCACAGCTGGGATAACGCTCCTCCAAATGAATTTGGCACGCCTGTGTAAGACTGGAGGGGTGGAGCCAGTACACACCTGTGCAAAGACTGAAGGGGAGGGAGCCTGCACGGCCTGTGCAAGACTGAAGGGAGGAGCTGGGTACACCTGTGCAAGACTGAAGGGGAGGAGAACGGTACACCTGTTTCAAGACTGGAAGGGGAGGAGCCAATACACCTGTGCAAGACAAAGGGAGGGAGCCGGTAACCTGTGCTAGACTGAAGGGGAGGAGCCGGTACATTTGTGTAAGACTGAAGGGGAGGAGCCGGTACACCTGTGCAAGACTGAAGGGGAGGAGCCAGTACACCTGTGCAAGACTGAAGGGGAGGAGAACCGGTACACACCTGTGCAAGACTGCAAGGGGAGGAGCCGGTACACCTGTGCAAGCCTGAAGGGGGAGGAGCCGGTACAGTAATCCTGTGCAAGACTGAAGGGGAGGAGCCAATACACCTGTTGCTCAAGACTGAAGGGGAGGAGCTGGTACAACCTGTGCAAGACTGAAGGCTGAGGAGCCGATACACCTGTGCAAGAATGAAGGGGAGGAGCCGGTACACCTGTGCAAGACTGAAGGGGAGGAGCAGGTACACCTGTGCAAGACTGAAGGGGAGGAGCCAAGGTACACCTGTGCAAGACTGAAGGGAATTAAGAGGAGCCGTACACCTGTGCAAGACTGAAGGGGAGGAGCAGGTACACCCTGTGCAAGACTGAAGGGGAGGAAGCCGGTACACCTGTGCAAGACTGAAGGGGAGGAGCCAGGTACAACATCCTGTGCAAGACTGAAGGGGAGGAGCAGGTACACCTGTGCAAGACTGAAGGGGAGGAGCCAACGAGATACACCTGTGCAAGACTGAAGGGGAGGAGCCCGGTACACCTTGTGGCAAGACTGAAGGGGAGGAGCCAATACACCTGTGCAAGACTGAAGGGGAGAGCCGGTAACACCTGTGCAAGACTGAAGGGAGGAGCCGATACACCTGTGCAAGACTGAAGGGGAGGAGCCGGTACACCTGTGCAAGACTGAAGGGGAGGAGCCGGTACACCTGTGCAAGACTGAAGGGGAGGAGCAGGTACACCTGTGCAAGACTGAAGGGGGAGGAGCCGATACACCTGTGCAAGACTGAAGTGGGAGGAGCCGGTACACCTGTGCAAGAATGATGGGGAGGAGCCGGTACACCTGTGCAAGACTGAAGGGCAGGAGCAGGTACACCTGTGCAAGACTGAAGGGAGGAGCAGGTACACCTGTGCAAGACTGAAGGGGAGGATCCGATACACCTGTGCAAGACTGAAGGGGAGGAAGTCGGTACACCCTGTGCAAGACTGAAGGGGAGGAGCCGGTACACCTGTGCAAGACTGAAGGGGAGGAGCGGATACACCTGTGCAAGAACTGAAGGGGAGGATCCGCGGTACACCTGTGCAAGCCTGAAGGGGAGGAGCCGGTACATCCTGTGCAAGACTGAAGGGGAGGAGCCCAATACACCCTGTGCAAGACTGAAGGGGGAGGAGCCGATACACCTGTGCAAGAATGAAGGGGAGGAGCGGTACTACACTGTGCAAGACTGAAGGGGAGGAGCAGGTACCACTCTGTGCAAGACTGAAGGGGAGTGAGGAGCCGGTACACCTGTGCAAGACTGAAGGGGAGGAGCTGATACACCTTGTGCAAGACTGAAGGGGAGGAGCGGTACACCTGTGGCAAGACAGAAGGGGAGGAGCTGGTACACCTGTGCAAGAATTGGGGGATGAAGGTGAGGGAGCCGGTACAACCTGTGCAAAGACTGAAGGGGAGGGAGCCGGGTACACCTGTGCAAGACTCGAAGGGGTGTGCGAGGATCCGGTAGCACACCTGTTGCAAGACTGAAGGGGAGGAGCCGGTACACCTGTGCAAGACTGAAGGGGAGGAGCGGTACACCTGTGCAAGACTGAAAGGGGAGGAGCCGGTACACCTGTGCAAGACTGAAGGGGAGGAGCTCGGTACACCTTTGTGCAAGAACTGAAGGGGAGGAGCGGTAGGTACACCTGTGCAAGACTGAAGGGGAGGAAGCCAATACACCTGTGCAAGACCAGAAGGGGAGGATGAGCCGATACCACCTGTGCAAGACTGAAGGGGAGGAGCGGTACACCTGTGCAAGGATGAAGGGGAGGAGCTGTTTCACCTGTGCAAGATGGAGGGAGGAGGAGGCCGATCTAAAGTAGGGCCAGTGAACTGTGCAAGAATGAAGGAGGAGGAGCCCGGTCCAACCCTGTGCCAAGACCTGAAGGGGAGGAGCCGGTACACACCTGTGCAAGAACTGAAGGGGAGGAGACGGGGGACACACTGTGCAAGGACTGAAGGGGAGGAAGCTGTTTTCACCTGTGCAAGACTGGAGGGAGGAGGCCGATAAACCTGTGCAAGAATGAAGGGGAGGAGCCGGTACACCTGTGCAAGACTGAAGGGGAGGAGCCTCGGTACACCTGTGCAAAGACTGAAGGGGAGAGGAGCTGGGGACCACCTGTGTGCAAGGACTGAAAGTGAAAGCAGCACACAAGACACATTATTGGAACCACAATTATCTATCCCCTTTCCTGTCATTTGTAGTGTTCAGTATTATATTTGATCAATGTCCACACTGCCCCCCTCCTGTCACACTGCCCCCTCCTGTCACTCTGCCCCCCCCTCGCTGTCACACTGCCCCCCTCCTGTCACTCATGCCCCCCTCCTGTCACTCTGGCCCGCCTCCTGTCACACTGCCCCCTGCTGTCACTCTGCCCCCCTCCTGTCACTCTGCCCCCCCTCCTGTCACACTGCCCCCCCTCTCGTCACTCTGCCCCCCTCCTCTGTCACACTGCCCCCTCCTGTCACTCTGCCCGCCCTCCTGTCACTCTGCCCCCCTGCCCCCTCCTCATAGGGATTTATATGTAACAGAACAGGATATGTGAGGATTTGTTATAATGGGGGGGGCAATTATAAAAGGCCGGGGGGAATGTGGAAGGGGTAAATTATAATGGGAGGTGGGGAAGGAGAATTACAGGTTCATTTTAATGTGATGGGGGTAGGGGAAGTGCCATGGGGCAATTATAGAGGAGTGGGGGATTTATGATGGGGGGGTATGTAATTGTAATGAGGGAAATAGTCCGGGGTAATTATAATCGGGAAGGGGGGGATTGTGGGGTAACTCCAACTATGAAGTATGTGTGTGGGGGGGGTGATTAGATGTAACGTGGGGTAGTTCTAACAGCTGGGAAGGGGGGTTATTTACATGGAGAATAAATGTAACGGAAGGATATGTGAGGTATTCATAATACCGTGTGTGTGTGTGTGGGGGGGGGGGGGGCAATCATTAAAATTATTGGGGAGGGGGAGATGCCATGTTGTACGGTTCAAATCGCATCGCATCTGCATCACAAAGTTGCAGGACCCTTTATTTTTCCCGCACCTGCTTAGCATTACATGGAAGTTCACACCCATGCGATGCGATTTCTGATAATCGCACTGCGCTTTGTGAGCCCGCGGTCGGGGGTGTCGTTAATTTAATATTGACACCCGTACCAGATCGCATGGACGCCGTGCGTTCGCAATGCAGTGCGGGAAACGCACAGGATTCACTGCGTTTCCTGCACCGCCTTAGTGTGAGCCAAGGCTCAAGTATTTGATGAAAAAAACGAAGTATAAAAAGTAAAAAAAAAAAAAATGTATATTATCAGTTTGTAGCTCACCTGTGTTGGCAAATCAGGGGCGGACTGCACCATTGGGGAACTCAACTCAGCACTGCCCGAGGGCCCGGGGTCAGTAAGGGGCCCCATGAGATGGCCCTGGTACCTTTTCATAGGCTTTTTTGGGTGTGATTTGAGTTTGGGCGAGGACACAGGGGGCCCCATGATCCCCTATTGCCCGGAGGCCCCATGAGTTGTCAGTCTGCCCCTGGGTGGCAGCATTTAGGTTTTTTTTTAGACTTTTTTTTCCCTTTGCCTCACCTGGTGATCCCGCCAATCAAATCTTATTTTTCAACTTTCCTTCACAGAACAAGCTCTCCAGACAAAGGTAGCGGTTTTTAGAGGGCTGGGACAAACCATTTACCACTGACAGGGGTGCTTACAACGCTCAGCTTTTATTTATTTCCTGTAAATCTTTTATCCCAAAAGGAGAAAAACAAAAACAAAAAAACACAGTTTGCTGTAACTGACTATAAAGTGTTATGCCGGCCATAGACGTGGTCGGAGAAAATTGGCCAATTTTTCTCGTCTCTCCAAAAAAAAAATGGGATGATTTTCGCACTGTTTAGTGGGTTATTGGTCGGCCCGTTTTCGGGTTTTTTGCACAGTTTTTTTTTATCAGTCATGTTTGGAACATTTGCAGCCGATTTTGGAACGATTGGCCGATTTTTCCCGGCAAGGATGGGCAAATCAGCCGATCGTTTTAAAACCGATAAAAAAATCTGTGCATGAGCTGTGACCTGCAAGGGACAGGAAGTTATGGGGTGAACTTTATGATTTTGTCGGCACGATTTTTTTAACGGTTGGTGGTAACATCGGTCGATGTACGAACGACCAATTTTTCATTTTTTTTTTTTTTTTTAAAAAATGGTCGATGTTTGACCCGTCTATGGCCAGCATTAGCTGCTGCTATCAAAGGGTGTCTCCATTGCTCCTCCATCCAGAGAGGAGACACCCTAAAACGGGAAGTGTGTTACTGGCACCCTGGTTAAAAAAAAAGAGAAAAAAAAGAAAGAAAACGAATGCAGCCACCACATCTAATTGCAGGCCATAGACGGTCGAAAAAACAGGCTGTTTGTTTATAAAAAAAAGAAAAATATCGGTTGTTCGATCGGCTGACGTTACCACCAACGGTAAAAAAAATCGGCCGATTTTCATCCCGTCTACAGCTGGCATTTAACTCCATAATTACTTCTGTCCCTGCAGAGAGCTCCGCTATTATATTTGACATGAAAAAGTCTTGCGGTTGCAACAATGTATCCATTTTGTATTCATATCGGAATTGCAGATGTTTTATTCGGATACAAATAGATACATTGTTGCATCCGCAAGACTATTTCATGTCAAATATAATAGCGGACTGGAAATCTTCTTCTTCTTCTTCTTCTACTTTCTTCTTGCAGGTCACGGCTCATGCGCAGATTTTTTTATTGGTAAAGCGATCGGCTGATTTGCCCATCATTGCGGGGAAAATCGTCCGATCGTCAAAATAGGCCGCAAATTTTCCAACTTTACCGATAAAAAAAAATGTGCCAAAACCCCGAAAAACAGCCCGACCAATTAACTCAACCATCCATTTTGGACCACAGAAACGTTTTTATTTGGATACATTGTTGCAACCGCAAGACTTTTTCATCTTCTTCTTCTCCTCCTCTTTCTTCTTCTCCTCCTCCTCCCTTCTTCTTCTCCTCCTCCTCCTTCTTCTTTTCCTCCTCCTCCTTTCTTCTCTCCTCCTCCTCCTCCTTCTTCTCCTACTCCTCCTTCTTCTTCTTCTTTTCCTCCTTCTCCTCCTTCTTCTTCTCCTTCTTCTTCTCTTCATCTCCTTCTTCTTCTCCTTCTTTTCTTCTCCTCCTCCTCCTTCTTTTCCTCCTCCTTATCCTCCTCCTCCTTCTTCTTCTTCTTCTTCTCCTCCTTCTTCTTCTATCCTCATCCTCTTCCTTCTTCTTCCTCATCCTCTTCTTCTTCTTCTTCTCCTCCTCCTCCTTCTTCTTTTCCTCTTCTCCTCCTCCTCCTTCTTCTTCTGCTTTCTCCTCCTTCTTCTTCTCCTCCTTCTTCTCCTCCTTCTCCTCCTTCTCCTTACTTCTTCTTCTCCTACTTCTTCTTCTCCTCCTCCTCCTTCTCCTTCTCGTCCTCCTTCTCTTCTCCTCCTTCTCCTCCTCCTTCTTCTTCTCCTCCTCCTGCTTCTTCCTCCCCCTCCTCCTCCTGCTTCTTCTCCTCCTCCTCCTTCTCCTCCTCCTTCTTCTTCTCCTCCCCCTCCCTCCTCCTGCTTCTTCTCCTCCCCCTCCTCCTCTCCTGCTTCTTCTCTCCTCCTCCCTCTTCTTCTTCTCCTCCTCCTTTCTTCTTCTCCTCCTCCTCATCCTTCCCTCCTCCTTCTTCTCCTCCCCCTTCTCCTCCGCATCCTTCTTCTCCTCCCTCTTCTTCTTCTCCTCCTCCTCCTTCTTCTCCCTCCTTCTCCTCCCTCTCCTCCTCCTTCTCTTCTCACTCCTCCCCATCCTTCTTCTCCTCCTCCTCCGTCTTTCTCCACTCCTCCACTTCTTCTCTTCCTCCTTCTCCTCCTCCTCCTCCGTCTTCTC